CACCCGAGGTGGTCTCTGTACGGTTCGTTTTGTGGTTTGACTGATTTTGTTCACTTTAAAAACAAAAACAGCCCCGATACGCTTCGCGTTTTGCGTTATGGTTAAAGAACCTCGAGGCGTACACAGTCTTTCAGTACGTAGCAGCTAAAAACAAACTGCTTAGGCTGCCTGTGGGTTTGTGCAATCTCTTGTAGAGACAATGACGTCGGCATATTAAAGCAGTGAGCCACGAGAGCCCATGTGTTTTTGCTGTGGTTAAAGGGTAAAGCTAGGCAAGATGTGGAGTTAAACCTTCTACACGTGGTGAAATCACTTCAGTATTTCAGTCATTTCACTATTTAGATTGTCCACTCTTTACCTTCATTCCTGCTCCCATTCTATTCACGAGACTCACTTTCAGTTCCTCAAAGAATCTGCAGACACACCTCCAAAGTTCAGTCTTAGAAGCTGGTTGATCATTTTCTGAAGTAATCAAACACATTCAGTGGTGTTGAGGTCTGGACTCTGGGGTGGTCAGTCCATTGTTCAGCTTCTTTGTTTGATGTGTCCGTCTCCTTTTCTCAGTGAGGTTCTTCTTGACAGCTACACATCTTTTCAGACCCACAGCGCTGAGTCGTCTTCTCACAGTGGAAGGATGGACAGAAACACCTGTGGATGTTTTCAGATCTGAAGCAGCTTGATTTTCTCCTCTGTCTCAGAGATGAAAGCTTTAAGTGCTGCTTATCTGACAGTTTTGGGGTCTACCAGGTCTTCCAGGTGGTTGTTAGGAGGCCCATTTACTCCGTATGATTTAGAGATTTAGACTAGAAATTAAATAAATGTGGGGATGGTCTGTACGAGTTTTACACAGTACTGTACCTGTAAAAACACCCTCAGAGTCGTGTCTTGAAACAGACTAATTAAGTGGCTATAGTCTTGAGGAAGTGAGCTCTTGAGGGCGCTGGACATTGATATGAGCTCCTCTGAGACTTGTCTGCTCTCTTCTATTCATTACTGACAACCTACTTAAAGTCTAGTGTTCCCTCCTCCATCTGTGGCTTCGCATTACACAAACCTATTAATTATTGTTTTAAACCAGCCTCTTATGCTCCTTCCATTTCAGGGGAGTCTTGGCCCTCATTTATCAAGTGTTACCAGTCATTGCACACAGTGATTACCTGCTGTTACGCGAGGGACTCCATCGCTTACTGATGTTGTGAGAATGTATAACCATATGGTTCAGAATGATGAGGTTTTACAGAAAAGTTATTAAACGTTTAATATTTAAGAGAGGCACTCCCAAAGATATTTCTCGATTCGAAGATTCTGGTCAACAGTAAAGAGGTTGAATTAATTGGCTTATCTTAAAACCCTCGATCGCTGTTGGGTTATTTGCTAGATTTATTGGGCTTTATTTTGATATGACAAAATAAATGTCAGGGCTTGTGTGTTTGTTCATTATCATTGGTTTTTATGTCTCTGTTCACACTGTAAAAAAAATGTCTCATCATATCAGCCTGAAAAATTACTTCATGTGGTAACGAGCAATTGAACTAGTTTTATTCAACTCAAAAATTACCCATCCGTAGCCGGGAGTCCAAGAGAGCACAACTGGCCTCGCTCTCTCTGGCTGACGCTAGTCAGCGCAGGCGTCTGTTAGCTGACGTAACAGATCTGGCGGTTGGCGCTTTCATCCGAGCGCGTTCATCTGTTCAATGACGTTGCATGAGCGGCAGTTTGGAAAGATGCGGTGGTGCTTCACAGGCCTCGGAGGAAGCCTGTGTTTGCCTTGGCCCTCCTAGCGTTGATAGCGTCGTGTGATTGGGGGAGTCCTAACCAGCGGGTAGAATTGAAGACGACTAAATTGGAGAGAAAATTGGGTAAAAATTACATTCGATGAAATGATTTAAAGCCACAGAATTTGTGCAAAGACCTTTTAAATAGAGCATTTATAGTTAATATTTGGAAATTAAAATAAATAAGTAAATAAATGGTCCATCTCACCTCAAAGCACAACAAAATTAACAAAAATTCTGATGCGTGTTTTTTTTATCATTCTTTTGCTAGGCTCAGAAAATAAATATAAATCTGAAGTTTGCTAAAAAAATGTCTTATTTCCTGTTTACCAGGTTTGTTTACCCAGTAATGGATAAGAAAAAAGGAAATTTGAATTTTGCATACAACTGTATTGTATGTTTTCTTGGGGAAAGTCTCATAGCATACGAGGTAATATAAAATATCGACTTAAATGTTGTATACTCTGAAAAATAAACAGAAACATTGACATGATATTTTAATTAATATTAATATTAACGTCAGTCTTTTTTGCAGACTTTTATTGATACTTGAAAATCAAAATTAGTCAGAATGAAATAATTGATTTCAGCCGTTAAAGTGTTTCATTAACACATTCGTCAGTTTATGTCCCCACATTCAAGTTAAAAACGTTGATGTCTGTTGTTTTTACCTCAGACAGCGTTGTGCTGTGCCATACCTCCCTCCGTTTGGCTCTTAGCGTTTGCTCTAACAGCAGCAGCATCTGCATGCGGCCAAGTCTCAGTTTACCCCTCAAGCAGCTCATGTCAGCAGGGCCTGGCTGGTCCCCTTCCACCCCGCTACCACCGGCTTCCTTCCACATTCTCCCGTTTCCTTGGCCAGGTGTTGCCGTGTAGTCAGTCAATAAGGCTTTTGGTTTACATATGGGCCGATCTATTGTTATTTTAATATGCCGCGTCGACAGACACCTGAGCCTCCCCCCGCTCGATACCGTGTTGCAGAACTCAATGACAGCCGAGTGCTGTAGTTTGCAAATCCTCTCTTACCGAAAGTACCCGGCCTGCTGCCCGACGTGCGGTTTATGAGACCACTCCGTCCTCAGACGAGAGAGGGGGCTGAAACCGATACCCGCCCTGGGCCACCGCTACTGACGGCTGGGTCTAGGGCTCCTCAACTTTATGCTTATGCTTTGAATAACCACGCGGCACTTAATGCCTTTTAATGGAGCTCCGGTCCCGCGGGGATGCAAGGGAGAGGGCTGCGAGGGCGAAGAGCACGGCTGATTAGACGTGTTTTGGTGCTCCGGCCTGCAGACGTTTATTAAATATTCAGCTCCAGGGCCCGGCTTCGTTTACCACCACTGCGCCTCCTCCTTTTATCTCCATTGATCAGGTCTGTAAACATACACAAGTGACCTTAATCTGCTCACAATATGCTACAAGGATTTGGTTCTCCTCCGATGGGATTTGGCTATGTCTCTATTACTGTTTGATGTCTCTTAGACCTCCTCCTCAAACGAGGGGAAAGGAGCTGAAAGGGCTGTAGCTGGTTTTAGTTTTATCCGGCAAGGACAGCTTCCACGTTTCATACGATTTTCAACACCGAGGTCAAGATTTGGTTCATTTTTCAGTGATTTATGTGTTACAAATGTCTTGTTTCATCAGAGCCCCAATTATATACAGCGCACAGATTGCTTTGGCTCTCTAATAGAGCTTTATCAATGCCTGCCTCGCCAGCCTCCTGATGAAATAAGCCCCAAAAAATTGGAACCAACTTCTTAGAAAAAGCCTAGTCATTTGATTGTGGGGGTGTGCATAGCATAAAGCCCTCACCCATCCTCTCCCACTTTACTCTGATAGGATCCACCCTTATGCCTAGTTTCGATTACAGATCGCGGTTTCCCTGAACGACGGAAAACGAGAGACCTTTGGGCGAGACTGAGGGGCTTATTGGCAACACAGTTTTTGATTTCTATTGTTTTTAACTCTCTTTTATGTGAATGTTTTTCGAAGCAGTATGAAAATTATTACACCCTTACTAGTCTAGCTACATGCTTTCCGTTAGGGGTAGGAATCAGAGGGTATCTCATGATATGGTATTATCACAATACGTTGCCCACAATAATGATATCACGATACTACGATTATGTGATACTCAATATATTGCAAGACATTCCTTTACGATGTATCACGATATCTGTGTAACTCAGTGAAATACTCTTAAATAGGCAAATAGCAGGAATTATGTATTTATTAGTGTCAGTTTCACAGAATTTGTCAACCAATATGAAACAATGTACAACAAAGTGCAGAGCTTAAAATGTCCAAAGGTAGAACATAGCTGTAAATACTGGGAGCCCTCGAGGAGGTAAAGGTAAGTGTTGCTTTAAAAACTGTGTTAATTGCAGGCTGACTTTGAGTTGTGGCAACGTTAGCTGTTTTCTTAACAGCAGGATCAGAATGATGATGAAGAATGGCTGTGCATGTTCGTTGTGTTGCCTGTGTGCTTATTATAGTGAGACAGTTCTTGCAAATCACAGTCTTTGTCTATTTCATTTGGCCCTTCAATGCTGTAAAAGCGGACCCGGACCTTCAACTTGAAAGAGGACGGTGCCTGTCTGATTCGTTTCCCCCCCGTTTGTCCACCATTTCCCCCCGAGTTTCTTTTTCTTCAGCGCAGGTTTACCTTGTTTATTTGATTACGCCGATTACAGCGCATACATATTTCAGTAAATAAATCGATATTTGGCACCAGTGTAATGATAACGTATTGCAAAAGAAAGCGATACGATATATCGCTGTATCAGTGTTTTATCCACCCCTAATACGCCCCAATGTTCCATTGTTTTTCAGTTGTTCTGACCAACAAACCTCTTGGCTCAGTGGAGTAGGGTCTGCTCTGTCCTTTTTGGGGCTGAGTCATCACCCAAAACCCAATGCTGGCAGCTCTAGGATTACATCACCTCAGTTTGGCCCACATATGTGATGTGTAAAGCCAAATTTCTTGCATATCCTCCGTAATCTATTCTCTTTCATATCAAGTCTTTGCTCACTCCTGGTTTGCAGAGGGACCTTCCTTTGGCCTGTACTACATACTTGTCAGTTAGTGCGTGAAGACCCTTCTGACAGTGATTCGGTCCCCCCTGGAGTAGCATCACTGCAGTGCCTTGTGAATCATTCTTGTTTTTCCATGTAAAGTTTGTTGTTCTTTAATAATTTGTTTCTCTTCTCTTCTTTCTGTTTCAGCTTTAACTGCTTACACTTACCTCACCATCTTTGATCTCTTCAGGTAATTACAACCTGTTTGGCCTTTTCTTTAGTCTTGAACCTGATTTATCACCTCTGTTTAAAGTTGTGTCCATAGTGCTTGTTCTAAATGTTTGTGCTCTTAATGTGTCCATTGCAGTTTGATCACCTGCCTGATAAGCTCATGGGTGACTATGAAGAAACCAAGTCAGCTCTTTTCATTTGGGTGAGTTGCAGTAGTGAATGGTGAAATCATTTGCTTTTACTCTCTACTACATCATCTTTGGTACATTTGCTCATTACTGAACAGTGGCAGATGGCATAGAATAGTTCCCACGCCATCCTAGCTTACTAGTTTATCATAATGGTGCCTGTTATTTGTCAAAGTGTTGATTTGACCTCAAACTTGGGCCAAACTTTTGTTAACACGCATTAAAGTCTACCTCACGTTAATATAGACCGTTTTTACCTTGTTAGTTCATGTCCCTTTTCGAAATTAGGGCGAAAGTTTCTAAGCCAGTCCTTCACACACATACGAAGTTCTCTCTAGTTGTGCCTGACTGACAGCATTTGTATGGCTTGCTGTACACATTCATGCTTATGTTGGTCCTTCAGGTTGAACACAACTTACGTAATCAGATATGTCACAAACGAAACATACATTTTTAAAAATTTGTCTGGTCGAGGGGTTATTTTACACCACTTCTCCACCGTCAATCACCATGATGGTCTGAAATGCCCACACAATTATGTTAAAGCAGTTTTAATTAACAGTGAGAGTTAACATACTGTTAACTTCCTTATGGGATCTGCAATGTTATGGTAGCACTGAACTAGTGGTGCTACATGTAAGTTCCAGTAAAACTTTCTAGCTTAGACACGTGAAACTTGTAATAGACATTTCAGATCCTCAGTTAAAAGATGTAGGGCTGCTTCATGTATGTACCAAAAAAAATAAATCAATACTTTTGGTAACACTACTAACTATCAAAGGTTCTGTTGCTGAGAGACTTCAAGGTTCTCTGGTTTTGAACACGGAATAGCTCCCCATCAAAGTGGAAGACCTGGATCCAAAAATAAAAAAAACCTCAATTAGAATAGCACTCATTTACAAAAGTCTAGAGGACGTTCTAAGGACTCAAAGGTCCTGGTAGAACTCAATGCGTCTCATTGGTTCAAGTATCACCAGGCTGAGGTGGGGAGACCTCAAAGACAGTATGCTGCATAAGAAGACCGTAGGCTATATTCACATTCCAAGCCTCATTGCTCAAATCTGATTTTTTGCTCAAATCCGATCTCTCTGACAGGATGGTTCACACTCGTTTAGGTAAGTGATTCATGTCAGTCATTAATGTGAACAAACTGGCGTCCTGAAATGACCCTCATGCGCACATCTTACTCAGTAACGTCACGTGAATGAATCACGAGCATCATCAGCACAAACTAACGAGCAGAACGAGCTTCGCTGAGAAGATCATTAACTCTGATCAGCTCTCAGCTTCATTATTAGAGTGAGACGAAGGAGAAAAAGGTGAGATGAGCTGCTTTTCCACCGTTTACAGGCTTTAACTTCTGTTCGGCGCTGCTGCCATGGTAACGCTGAATGATGGGGGGGGGGAAAAGCACATGAATTCCGATCTGAGCGTCACATTAAGGTCACATGGCCACGAATCGGATACGTATCCGATCTAGGACCACAAATGAAAGTGCCTCAGGTCGGATTTGAAAAGATCAGATTTTGCGTGTCCACACAGCTCTGAAAATATCAGGTCTGAGTCACATTAGGGCAAAAAATCAGATTTGTGCCACTTCAACCTGGTTATGTGAACGTAGCCTTGGACCGGTGACGACACAACAAATGACTAATATTCGTGTCATTCTGTTGTGTTCACACTTTTGAGAGGATCCTCGAGAACCAAGATTTTTTTTTAGCCGGATAAAATTTAAAGGCATTATGAACTGGAAATCACGCATTTTCCTTCTGCATTTTAGAAGTGGGCAAAAGTCATTATATTCCAGTGTAAGATTACAAGAACAACAATTTTACATAAAATTTATGATTTATATGAGAATTGTTCCAGCAATTATTTAAGCATACTAAGCTACTACACAGTTACTGCAGCCAACTGTGTGGCTTACAAACTTTTACTTTACCTACATTTCGTTTACTCGTGCTTTCAGCGCAGCCACTCCCTTTAGCTTATAAGCTCAGTGGGAAATCTATAAATGAATCTATAATCAGAATGTGTTCAGTCAGATTGTGAAAAATCCTCTCTTGTAAACACAAACATTGATTTAGAAACCTGCCGTTGCAGTTATGTATCATTATCTATGTATTTCTGCTGTCTTGACAGCCCTAGTGAGGCCCTAGGCTGAAGCAAACGCCAAGCATGAACACTTTTACCGAGGCAGATCATCGGCCTCCTGAAAGCAGCTGAAAAATGTATCTTGTTGCTACAACTCGTTTAATATAATGTTTGTTTATTTGAGCTGAATCTGTTTCTACCTTCAGTTGGGACTTATTTAGTGTAAATAGCTAAGAAGTAAGATGCAGGTTGGTAAATAATTGTAAATAATGAACAAAAAGACACTTAAATAGTTAAACTTATTGTTAAATCATTTATATGGCAGTTCATCATCAGCTAAAACTTTATGATTTTGGCTGGCTTCAAATAAGTTCACAACCTTGTTAAATAGCATTAAAAAGCAAGCTAAAAGAATCTGTCTCCACTGTTAAGCTGGATATTTGCTGTTTGTTTTTACCCCCATACTGTCCTGTGTATATGATACATTGCATGCTCTTTCTTGTCCACTCTCCCCCTGGCGTATGAGCGTGAAATCGTTGCGCTACAGCTGAGGGGTGTCAGTGATCCAGGTCTATGAGTATGTACGTATATGCGGTTGTGTGTTGACCCTATCAGGCTCAGCAGGGCGGCTTTGTTGACATACACTGAGGTCTTTGTTGATGGCATAGCTTTGTATGGGACAATGCGCTGCTCTCTGTTCAGCTGCCTCTTCTGACCTAAGGGTGTCGCAGTGTGCTGATTGCATAGAAAGCTGCTTTTCAGCTTCGCTTGGCCTTAATGTGCTCAGTGGGCCAGCACAACGGGTCAGCCAAGCCTCGTTCTTCTTTACACACAGCAGCTTATCTTTTCTCAGACGGAGCGTAGCTGTATTTTCGCTTTCGCTTGTGTTTAATATTCGCTTTGTGTCATATGTGTCTGCATTGAGCACCAGCTCAAACCCTCAAGGCCCCAAACTGGAAAGGAAAAAAGATGCTTAGCCAGCAGTTTACACTTATGAGCCAGACGAAAATGATTCAACACAACTCCCTCCCTGGTGCTCGAATCCAGCGTGCAGCGTGCCAGCTCAGGCGGGTGTGCTCCTAAGCTTTTGTTTGGTCCTGGCACCGCCGCAGGGGGCTCTCTGCTGGTAAACACACACTGACCCTGCAGACTGCTCAGTGCGACAGCCTGCCTACCCAACATCACTCTGTTGTCCAAACAAACCATTTTTTTTTTTTTTTTATCCGGAACGGCTGCCGAGTGGCCAAACAGGAACGGGGCACTTCAGTAAAAGGGGCAGGACCACCAGCTGTGGCCCCGTTTTGTTATCGATTGGGTCTCCGAGCAGGAGGGCTAAACTGACGCGCACTGCCCACTAGCCCGGAACAGTGTTTCCATTTTAGCTGCCTGGTGCGATTTGTTGGTTGTAAGGAAGCTGAGGGTAGGTTAGATGCGGCAGTGTGATGGGCTGGACTTTTGGTTTTGGAAGCATTTAAAAGAAGAATGGATGTTAGGGGCCATTGGATTAAACATAAATCTAGTCAATCCCCTCATGGATCAGAAGATGGGATTGTGATCAGATTTACGTGTGCTCTAGCAAGACTGTTACTTTATGTAGTTTAACATAATTTCATCATTTAGGTTTTGAAAAGTGCAAAACTTTTGGGCTCTTGCAAACATTAGATTTAAAAAGCTGTTTATCTGGGCAATAAGCATTTATTTGACCTGAAAAACTGTCATTATCTGTTACAGAAAGTGGTGGTTTTATGTATGTCCGTGTGTTTAACCATTTCCAATCCTTACCTTTTGGCAGCTCAGTATTATTTATTTGTAGTTATCATGTAATGCATAGTTCTTCAAACTAGCCCACAAGTGTGCGGTGTGTGTGTGTGTGTGTGTGTGTATATATATATATATATATATAATATACACACACACACAAAATTGTCACCTTGCATGTTTAAGGTGGTAACGTATGACTCCTGCAGATGCCGTTGCATGAGGATGATCAGGCTATAAATACCTGAGGGGTGTTTGACAGGATTCATGGATTGAGAAAAGGTGGTACAGTGCAGTGAATGTCTCATTGGATATGTGGAAAATGGGTTGCAAAGCAGATGTTAATGATTGGAGTGATTACATTTGGGCAACCAAATGAACCGTTAAGCCAATGTAAAGAGCATATATTTCTGTTTATATTTATGTGTTTGTCCTCTGTGCTCTTTCCTCAGTTTCGAGCGGTTCGAGGTGCTGGCGGTGTTTGCCTCCACAGTGCTGGTTCAGCTGGGCGCTCTGTTTATTCTCAAGGAGAGGTGAGCTGCTCCCATCTCTGCTCCTCTCAGCTCCTCGCTGCTCTGCGTGTGCAAAATGGTGCTCATGAATATTTCAGAGCTGTGGGAATGCTGATCAGAGCTCAGGTCCAGGCCTCCCAGAGTGGGGTTTACCTGCCGGTCACTACCCATTCACAGGAGGGGGGAGGACCACCACGCACCGCTTAGGGCAGGAATGTAGCTGTGAGTGTGAGAGAAAGAGTGTGTGTGGCTTTAATCAGCTAATGTCAAAGCTTCTAGATGTGTGCAAGTTGACCATTTCACCCTGAAGCTTAGGCAAGCTGGCTTTCGCTTTCAAATACTACTGAGGTCAGAACTGGGGTAGCAACAGTGGCCATTTACCAGTCTGTAGCGGAAGTATGTGAACCTTTCATTATGTGCATTCTAAAGATTGTAAACATGGTAAAATCAAATAGACCACATTCCACTATATTCTATTGCAATTGTATTGCTACGTTTTGCTGGTCAAAACGGCCATCAAGTACACAGTATTCATTTTTTAGAAGATATTTCTGAGGAGATTAAATATGAGAGAATTCTTCCAGTCTTACAACCAGTGAGTTGGAGCTGCAACAAAAGCTGCTCCCAAGGATCTCACTGACATTCTGCTCCCCTTCGGACACTTAAATCCACACAAACAGCTACCCAAACTCACCTCAGCTGCCTCGCAGGTCCGTCTAAAATGGCTAAACGAGATATTTCTGAGATTAGACGTAAAATAATACACTTGCACAAGGAAAGTTTTCAAAACTGGAGTTCAGAAAATGATTAAAGGCAAGAAAATGGGGCTCCTAACAATCACCTGGAAGACCTGGTAGACCCCAAAACTGCCCCCATCAGATAAACAGCACTTAAAGCTTTCATCTTTGAGAGAGAGGAGAAAATCAAGCTGCTTCAGATCTGAAAACATCCACAGGTGTTTCTGTCCATCCTTCCACTGTGAGAAGACGACTCAGCGCTGTGGGTCTCAAAGGATGTGTAGCTGTTCAAGAAGAACCTCACTGAGAAAAGGAGACGGACACATCAAACAGAGAAGCTGAACAATGGACTGACCACCCCAGAGTCCAGACCTCAACACCACTGAATGTGTTTGATTACTTCAGAAAATGATCAACCAGCTTCTAAGACTGAACTTTGGAGGTGTGTCTGCAGATTCTTTGAGAGACTGAAAGTGAGTCTCCTGAAAAGAATAGAAACCGGTAATAATAAAGGTAAAACTACACTCTGAAGTTGGTCAGGTGGTTGATAGCATACATTCGATACAGGACTCATTTGTATATTTCATCCTGCTGTGATATCATTACTGCAAAGGCCAACATCATGATGATGAACAAACAATATTGTGCAGCCCATCTGACCTGCAAGCTTGCTTTAGTGTTATGAGTATAGTGTTGTACCAATAGACTTATTTTTACATACAGTGTGATGTTTATGGTCATCTTCTCTGTCTTACAGTGTGGAGCGATTCATGGAGCAGCCGGAGGTGCACACGTAAGCTTACTTGATTTTGCATTGCTCATGCACTCACATGTTTGCACATATACTTGCAACAAAAAATATTCAACCCCTCTGGACATTGTACATATTTAGACCTTTGTGCATTTTCTAAAAGAAATAAAGCAGCATTTATGTATGTTTTGTGACTAATTGATTATGAACACATTCAACACAGTTTAACAATAAATGATCTTAAACGCTGGAGTTAATGTAGAACTGCTAATTCACCCTTTAACCCTGAAGATCAGCGCAGACTGATGGTCACCTTAGAAACGCAGACAACAGCAGCACTGACATTCTGGGGCCTCAGGCACCATTTAAGGTGGAACGGGAAAATTAGAACAAGAAGCTGGTGAATGAGAAGAGACTTGAGCCTTGTAAAAAATCGAATGCTAAGAGACAATTTACAAGAAATTATTCCACTTTTAAGGAAAACTTTCCTGCCGGAGATGCGAGAAAAGCAGCTATAGCTGAGTTAATTAGTGATCTTCAGCAGGTGACTTTCATGGATTCACTGCAATATCAGACCGTTCTAGGAAAGAATATGATGCCCTCAGTGTATAAACTGAACCTCGGTGATCAGTGGACATTCTAGCAAGACGATGATCCCAGGCAAACACCTTAGTGAACCAAAGCTTGGCTCAGAGAGAATGAGTCCCACAGTTAAATCCCATTGAAAATCTTTGGTGGTATTTGTAGGAAGCAGGGGCAGCACAGGAGGCAAAGAATATTAGTGAACTCAAAGCCTTCGCACAAGTGGAGTGGACAAAGATTCCAAAAGAGTGGCGTCAGACGGTTATTAGCACTTATAGGAAACGTTTATTTGAAGGTATAAAGGCAGAAAGAAGCAAAACGAAGTGCTGATTTTGAGGGTTGAATCATTTTCAATCTTATTTTTTCAGAGAATTTCCAATTTTTCTGTGTTTGATGCTTTGCCAGTTCACTTTAAAGTGTACTTACAGTTGCTAAAGCTTTAGTTAACACATTTTCATTCCTTTTGGATACACATTCTGAGTAAGCAAAGATGCGCACACACTCAGATTTGCTCCCAGGGGCAAGACTGTTCACACACGGACACACATATAGAGCACCTGCTCCAGCAACACTGCCAAGAGACAACAGCAGCCCAAATGTTGAGTCCAGCTGGGCGCAAGTCCGTCCTGCCGTCCCCAAAATAGGATTCCCAGCTAATCATAGCGCATTCCTCCAAATCAGAGCACAGATTAATACTCGTTTCTCCTGACCAAGACCCCCCGCTTCCTCCTGTCTGATTACTCTTCTTAGCAACATTGCATGCCTCTGATCCAGACTGAAATTCCTCCGCTAATACGTTTGCGTTAAGACCCGCGATAATCATGTCATACATTCAGATAATGCTATAATGTTGCAGACCACCTACACTCTCTAATCTGTCGGACGTAATTCTCTCCCAGCCTGACCTTAACTGCTTTGTGTGGTGAAAGGTGGCGCTGCTGTTGATGTGATGGCTTTGAATGGATTATGTATGTGTTGATATTTGCTGTGGACTTGCTTCAACATTTTCATGTTGTTTTTCCTGCAGGGGGCGCCTTTTAGTCGGGACCTTTGTGGCTCTCTTTTTTAACCTGTTGACTCTGCTTTCGGTGAAGAACAAGCCGTTCGTCTACGTATCTGAAGGTAAGATTGCTTGGGGAAAAAACTGTTGTTTTTCAGAATGTTTGTGAGAGAAAAGGCGATAGCATCTTTTTTCTCTTTGATGGACAGCAGCAGTTCGTAACGCATCATTTTCATCAACGACGTTTACATGCGCTTTTGTTAGGGTGCAAGGCCCCGGATCGGTTTGACTCGACTCGACTCGACTCGACTCTGCTCTGCCTTTTCTGGTTTTCTATTAGCCAAGTCTTCTACCTGGTACACGGCACTTTTTTGGTATCACCTTTATGAAGGTTCCAAGCGAGCTGAGCCGACACCAAAAGGTGACATAAAAACGCTGCAGACTACTGATTGGTCGGAGAGAATCCTCACTATCACCCTGAATACATGTGCGAACCGTTAGCTGCAAGAATCACTAAAGATTAGGCAAAGATTTCAAGCCTGGTAGACAAACTGGGAAATCTGTTTGCAGCACGGAATGTTTAACTAGTATTTCGTCATGAATTAAATACAATTTTATTTAATTTTTATTCATTATTTATGGCTTATTTCAGTATACTTTGCTCCGTGACACAGGTCTATTCTCTAAACACCGCGATGCTTCAGCGCGGCGTCTGGGATGCTCTGCCGCTTCGCATGTTCAACCTGTGTGAAAGTGCTGACCAGTGAACATAAGCAATGAAATAAAAAGCAAGACTTTCCGCATTGCTCACGCCACACAGAAGCAGTATTTGTGATTCAAGCCTGTGTGGAGTGCAGGATGGCTGGGTCTACAGTCAGTAGACCTTTAAAATGCACCAGTATGGTGGATGTTTCTGATAAAATGGCCAGTGAGTGAAGGTTCCTAGTTAACTGGAAACTGATTTTGGTGATTACAGTCCTTTCTTGTTCACCTTCAATGGTCATTCCCTCTCTTGGCCAGCAGAGGGCTGAAGTCTCCAAGGCTCGTATGCAAGAGCGCTGATCATGGATCAGTTTCTGCCTCTCATATGTAATTAAACGTGGTTAGATGAACGGAAAGAGAGCTGATTCTAGACCAGCTCTCATATTGGATATTCCTTGTTTTACACATATTGACCCTGATCTCACCCTTCATTTGGCCCCAGTGTTGTGTGTAAATCCGGCCTGCTGTAAGAGGGGCTCAGGCCTAATTGTCCGCCATAGACATCTAAATCCTTGTCTGCTTCTGATGAGCTGCTGATTTTCTCTCCATTTATGCCTGTGCCCCCTGCAAAACCAATGTCAGGATGTGGCTCCAGGATTTTAAATGGTGTTCTGGACTCTCGATTAAGGGTAGATTTTTGGAATCTGGTATTTGGCAGTGATTTCGTTTTAACTGTTTGCAGTTTATCTATAGTCTAAACTCAAAGTAATCCAGCCTAACTGATCATGAAATCACAAAATTATCATTTGCTGTGGTATTAGTGATGATTACTCTCACTTTTCCCTACTTTATCTTGTCTTAGCAGTTCTGCGTGCGTGTCCGCCTCAGCAAGTAGGTAGCCTTGCCAGCTGCAGAGCAGAGGTCAGACTGGCAAAGAGGAGCCCAGGATTTGCCTTATTTATGCCTCTCAACACTGTACACAGGTCTCCAGCGAGGAAGCAAATATGTGTAAATGTTTACAGGCTGTCCCTCTGCGAGGGATGCCCCCTGCTCAGAGGCCTCACCTCATCTTCAGTCGGTCCAGATGGGACTGTTTGGCTGACGGCAGCTCTAGGAGGCAATAATTGGCTTTTGTTTTTTATGCAATTAAGCTGTTTAAGAGAAGGTTAGACCTTCTTTGCTGTCTACCTGCCTCCGACACAGAATGAAGCACCATAAGCTTGTCTGAGTAGTATTTTTCAGCTGGTCAGTTCTAGGGCTGCAACAACTGATGAACATTATTGATTATTGTTAGTAGAGATGGGCTGATCAGTTTTTTGGGAGTTGATATTGACGATTGAACACGATTGGTGGAAAGCCACATTTAAAAGTGAAGCACCCCTCCCTTCAGTGGTCCTTCAGAAGCTCCGCCCCCAGATTCATGAAGCGCATATATATATATATATATATATATATATATATATATATATATATATATATATATATATATATATATATATATATATATGTATATATATATGTATATATATAATTTTTTTTTGAATATTTATGGCTGTAAAACCTATCAGAAGCGCTGCACGGACAAATGCCTTGATACAACGTTAGAGTGAACAACAGCACAGCAAGTACTGTAATCATTAGCTAGGTTGTGGGTTAGCAACCTGTCGCTACAATTCCTAGTGAATTGTAGTGAAAAGCTGAAGTAGCTTCTTTTTTTTACCAGCTTCTTGCTAACCTTAAATGGTGCAGCAGTCAGGCTGGTGTAACCATTGATATGACCAGCGCCTACACAGCAGGGCAACAGTCCTCCTGTGTTGCGGATGGGTTTTTTGGTGTATTGAAGAGGCTAAAAGGGCTGACGTACGATCACTTTTGCAGTTCTGCGTCTCATTTTTATTTTCAGTCTCTGCTAAATCCGTAGGACATGAAACTTGTGCAGTGTGAGCTGAGATTAACGCTCGGATGCTAACATGCTAACTTAATCCTCAAGGCTTTGACACCAAATCATGGTAATTACAGCTCTGCACGTTCACACAGCAAAATAGGAGCCAAATAGCCATTTATACCTCAAATATATATACACATCGCTGCTGTTGTAACAAAACCATGTATCTTCATTTTTGTCATTTTTCAGTTTTTGACATAATCTGAAAATGCCTGTTGCTCTTTACATTGTGTGCAAATTTCATGATGTACAGACGAAAACAAACGTCCCAAAATGACGTGGGAAAAAGTCTGGTTCCATTATCTTACATTAAAAGTACAGTAGGTTGTTTCCTTCTCCTGTAAAGTTACCATTTTGAGATACGAGGTTTTGACCCGACAGCAGCGATATGTAAAATACTACATGCTGCTTTGTTCGAATTTTCCTGTTCCACCTTAAATGGTGCAGCTGTTACGTTCTGGTGTAAAATTCAGCTCATTTTTTTTTCCGTCACTGATCAGCTCTCAGGTTCAGCTTAGTTAGAGAAATATCAGCAGATCACCGATCGCGTATTTGGGCTGAAATTTGGCAAATACTGATACGTAGCTGATCGATTCTTCGTCTTTTATTGTTCTTGCTATCGGTGGCCGTATCATGACGTTCGTGCTCCCCTTTTATATCACTTGAACGAAAGAGGGAAAGGGAGCAGCGACTACAGTAGAGAGTTAAACACTTTAGTTAACATTCTAAAATACAGGGTGATTCAAAAAGATTCATCTGATTTCAAAATGATTTATTCACTTGTAAATCATTACAGATCAATGCAGTAAACTGTAAATGGTTTAAATGAGCATAAAGTTTATTATGTAATTGAATATGTGCTCAGTATGAACCTCCTCCAGCTGTACAGACAACATCAACGCCATAGTCAGATTCATCCCATACTCGATTGAGCATGTCGGGTGTCGCTGCACTCACGGCTCTTTCAGTGCGATTTCGGAGGTCATCCAGTGTTGTGGAACCAGTGACGAACTGAGCTGTTGGAGGTTCACTGCCCACGAAAATCACTTCACAGTTATGACGGATTCACTCTTATTGAAGTGGAGAACGCAGAACACTTTCTGCTCAGGGGTCTCATCTCCTCTCAGACTGAAGGGAGCCATCTTCCACTGACAGTCCAGAAACTCTATGACCCCCTCTTACAATTGGATTGTGATTGGTTCCTAGAAGCCTCACGGGTGTAAAAAAATATGGCACTTTGAAATCAGATAAATCTTTTTGAATCACCCTGTAAGATGTAAAACCCTCTATAATGAGTTTGCCTTTGACGGCAGCGTGACTGTCATAGAGCTTTGAGAGAAAACTAATTCACAGAGGAAAATGACAAAAGGTCAGCTGAGCTAAGTAAATATAACTAGTAACAAAGTTAATCAACAGTATGTTCTCTGCTTTTCAGCAAACTCTGTTTTGGTTTAGTATTGTTGTTGAAACTGCATGGCTAAATTCTACTTATTCTGCTTGCTAGTGCGCTAATGCACACAGGTCTGCTCGTCCACACTCATATAAGTGTACAGATACGTACATTTTTTAATAAAATTTATTTCTCTGTGTTTTTGGCCTCACTGACAGGAAGTTTTGCTAGTTTTGCTATTTTGAATTACTGAGATGAGATTTCACTCTTGAATAAGGGTGGGCGATATGGCAAGAATAGAACATCGCGATACTTGAAGTGCATTGAATTCATTTAAAACAGACTGATTACTGGAGATGGCAACAGTCTAATAACAGGTATCCACATTGGGCTGATATCAGCAGAATTCTGAATCGAATATCGGTGAAAAGAAAGAAAATATCTGATCTGGTTCTGTGACAAATCTAGCCTGAGATAACACACACTACACTGTAAAAAGTGGATTAGGTTAGAAGTCGATTTGAACTGTTTTTTTAAGGTTTGAATTGACGTAAAAAGTGCTTTTGTTCCGCTAATTTTTTGCATTGTTTCATTTAAAGTTTTAATTTAAAAAAAGAAATACTGCTTATAAAAAAGTATCAGTATTGATATCGGAAAAAAGAAGTAGAAATGTCCGACTTCTACTAAGTATATATCTCTGAATTAAGACATGCAGTTGGTCAGTGTTCTTAAAGTACTGATGACATTCACCAGCTCAGAAAAGTGTATTGTGGTGTAATTTAACACGATAAATCTGAGTTTCTTGCCCACCTGCATTCAAACATTTGGTGAAATTCCTGTATTCATCTTTTTGTGTCCACAAAAACGCCTTCAAACTGATATAAATTCACTCCCATTTTATTCTCTGAGTTAATGATTGATATTAAATGCTTTGCAGAAATGCTGCTGTTGTTGATTTTGCTGGATTTTTATTCATATGCTAATGCTAACCCACACCAAGCCAGGCCAACCAGTGTAGTAGGCAGCAGCTTATTGAGTTTATATGAGCTGACAGCAGAGAATTTCACTGTTTTGTCCCGGAGGTTTGTTTATATTACATCAGCGTGATGAGGAAAGGAGCTTTTTATCAATATTGTATATCATATTATAGATATGTCCTTGAAGAAGGTAAGTGTTTGTGTGCGCTTAAGTGAACGAGTGTCTCACGCTGGGGTTTCGGGATTTGGCGTGACCCCAGCCTGATCAAATGGCAAAGTGGCTGCTGTTACCTCAAGTGAGGACCCTAAGTGGGGACATATGTTAGGTTGAGGTGAAAGGGGTGAGGATTGCAGTTTTCTGAATATTCTCTATCTCTGTCTCCAACAGCTGCCAGCACCAGTTGGCTCCAGGAGCATGTAGCTGACCTGAGTCGAAGGTAAGATCCACTTTCACTGAGTCAACTTTCTGAATTGATCTTTATCTTTCAGGTCTGAATGGATGCCTTCAGCTTTGGACTTGCCGTAAAGTCTGTAATATTTGCTCATAGTGAAATACTGAAAGAGAGAGACCAATATTCCAAAGGAGTAACACATTAGGGATTCACAGTCTAAAAAAGCGGTGCTGAAAGTGTGAGGGGTCCGAAATGTTGTGCATGATAAAAATCTGGTATTTAAAACATACAGGTTTATCAGTGAGTGCCTATCCATACACTCAGTACTCTGATCATAATTGGATTTCTGCAGTTGTCTGATCATTCAAATGGTCATGTAAACAGCATACTCTGATTTCTTAGATCAGAGTAAGATCTAGAAATCCTATTTATCATTGATTTCTCAGTGCATGTGAACTCTTACTCTGATTTCTTTCGGATTTCTCAGTCTGTGCATGTGTGAAAACAGACGGCGGTACCGGAAATAAGCGAGCAGTGTTGCCACGAGACGCAACAAAGCACTTTTGGAGCGACGCTGAAACCAAATACATGCTTGACAAAATGAAGGGTTTAAATATTCTTCATCTTCTAGAGATGTATGTTCATATTTTCAGGAAAAGTAGAGCGATACTTAAAAAAAGCTGCAGCATGAAGTTTCAGGTTTACATTATGTTCACGTTACTTCTGTGATTTTATTGGCTGGTTGCAAAGCAGAAATCCGATAACTGCCTGACTCATGTAGGTCTGGAGTTTCCCCATTATCTGATTATTCAAGTACGTGTAAACGTGTTGATCGGATTACTGACAAAAATCTGATTTTCTGTAGTTATCAGATTATTAAATGCATGTAAACACACTCAGTATCAGCAAAAATCCCACAGGTAAATGTCCTCTTATTGCCCAACTCAAATTTTTTATATTTGTGAATGATTATATATTAAATGCTTTGCAGAAATGCTGTTGCTAACTTTTTTGTATTTTTGCTCATATGCTAATGGTAACGCACACCAAAGCAAGCCAAATAAGAAAAGTATGAGTGTCCGATATGTTGTTGTTCATTATAAAATCCAATATTTAGGACCTACAGGTTCATCAGGAACGCTTTAAAAAGAAAAAATACAGAAAAACAAAATTCCACATTTTTCACAGTTTCCTAAAACAGGGCTTCATTATCCCATTCGCTGCTTTTCACTTCACTAGGTTCCCATGTACACTACCTACCATCTGGTCTTAGAGAAGATTTCATTCTAAAGAGTGCTGACCTTTTAAGTATCTGTGAGTTCAGGAGACAGATGCTCTATGAATGGTCTCTATTTTTAATAAATAACAGGTCATTGCCCCCGAGTACTGCTGCTGATCATGAGGAAGTATCCTACATATTTTCCAGTGCCACTTAGTAACAGATAGTGGCATAAATTATTAAGAATACATGTCCTGGCTAACAATTTATCAGCAGTTTATGACATAGAGGGGATAGTGAAACTGTTTTGAAAGGGACGCCCAATAAAAACAAGCCTGAGTTATATATTTTATACGTTTATTCACAATCTCAGAAGTAATGAGAGTACATCCCCAAGCATGTATGTCTCTTGTGGTAAATGGACGCTCCTGATGCGAAGAGAATAAATAGCCAAAGTATTTTGCCAAAAGTCTCCAATTTTAATGTAAACTGGTTGGTCCTAATCTTGGGTAAATCTTATGTATCGTCTCCAATCACAGGACTATTGTGTTGTTATCTTAAAATTGATATCAGTATTGTTTACATTTTTTTATGTCAATCAAGCCTGGTTGATACACAGATTTGTCTGGACTTGGTCAGTTGATTTGGTTAGTTCATTTGGTAGTTTTGCATGGCAAAGAATCCATTAATGACCTTTATGAGCGGAGCTGCCGTTGAGCCACGTTCGTGATGGCCCAGCTGTTTGGTGTTTGGTCTGCGTCCGGTACCTCACTTTGCCCTGAGGTGAAATTTCCTCCTCTCTCCACCAGTGAACAAACCAGTTCTGCTGCCGCTCCAGAAGGCTACAGAGTGTGGACTCGCTTCATTGGCTTGTCTAAATAATGGATGGGGAGATATTGTGTTTCAGGCCAAAGTGTCAAGATCTTTTAATCATTTTAAAACCGGCAGCTGTTAACACACACACACACACACACAGTTCCCTTTAGTTCTTAGATGTACATTATGACGAGGGTGTGAGTCACGAAGGCATGTTGAAAACTGAAGCAGTGCAGTTGCTCTAGTCAAAAGATTTCCAATAGTAATAGACATATTCGCTCGACCACCACCGTGAAATCCAAAATGAGGCTGAGGTGGGAAAGTTCCGGAAGTGTAAATGGTGGAGGGCTTGCTGGATTGCAAATGTTGACCTGCTGTTGATGGAATATTGACCTAATTTTGCAATACATTGTATAGAAAAGTGGCTACAGCAGCTGGGTTGTTGGAAATATAGTTCAGCTTTGGCAATTTCAAATGTAATAGTAGACAAGGTAACAGTTTGCAATGCACACACAGATATTATCAATGCCACCCATTGGGCAAAAGGCACGAAACACCCTGGACAGGTCGCTAGTCCATCACAGGGCAGACAGACAGACAGACATGCTCACAACCTAGAGGCAATTTAGTAACTCCAATTGGCTTGACTGCATGTATTTGGACTGTGGGAGGAATCCCACACAGGCACGGGGAGAACATTCAAACTCCACACAGAAAAAACCCTGGTTACCCAGTCGGGGAATTAAACCCAGACCCTTCTTGCTGTTTTTAGCAATTAGTACTTATTAGGTATGTGCCTTCTGACTAACTGTGAGATCTGAGTATCTGTTAGAGCAGGCATGTCAAACTCAACCACTAAACGGGCCATATTAAAAAAGCTGTGGACCAGAGAACGCCAGTGTTTTAATTCCTTTTTAATTAACATTGTACTTTAAACCGAACTGACCATTGTTTATTCAAAATGCACAAAAACTTCAACAGTGAAATACAGGCACTTGTAGTTGGCCTTGAAATATTATATGAATACTTGAAATATTCAAAATGTAAACGTCCCCAGGAGCTCAGTCTTTTAAACCTACCTGTTTGCTTGAACAAGACACCTGGAATCCTTTCTTTGCTGCAAGTTCATTAATACTTGGGCTCAGTTTCTGAGCTGCTGAGCTGACATTAGATGTTTATATTGGCTGATCTGCAGCTAGTTGTTTGGTGATACGACTGGTGTGGAACTGAGGTATAACCGCTCTCCCATAGATGATTGTTGGGCTAGCAAAGTCAAAGCACATTACGTTGCAGTGCATGCTGGGGACTGTAGTGCAGTACATTGTGAAACGAGCTAATATTAATAGAAAATGAAAATAGTTTTGCGGGCCTGATAGGATTGACAAGACGTGGGCCTTGTGTTTGACACATGGATGTTGGAGTTAGCGAACGGAAGATCTGTCATCCACTGAAAAAGAAACAAGCAACATGTTGCTCTCGTGTTGGAGAGGCTGATGAGCTGATGCTGAGTTGTCGTCTTCTACACATAACGAAACCTCCTTAACCCTCTGCCACACATATTATGAGAGCATAAACATCTTGCTTAAAATGGTCCTTGATTTATTTTTTCAGACCTGATTATTAAATTCCCTGAAGTGGTGAGACCTGGCTTGTGAGTGGCTAAATCCATTCCACTGTCGCACAATGTTGCTTTTAGGCAACAAACATATTTCTGCTAATTCTTGTAACAAAAAAAATGATACTGAATTTAAAAAAAGGGGGTTAAGAGATAGTATGACCAAGAACATGCTTTTTATTGACTTATTGAAACTCTTTCCTTTATTGTTAATCCTGTCGTTGTCGTTAAATATGTATAATATTATTGTAAAGTGAGGAAAATTAGTTTGTTGCCCTGAGGCAACATCATGCAGAAGAGGATTAACAAGGCATTCTTGGGAAACATTCTCACGTTCAAGCATTTGTGTTTTGTAGCAGCAAAGTGTAAAATAGTAAACACATTTGCTCATGAAAACAAGCTAAACTGTCACTTTTGCAGTCCAGGTAAGATATGAATTCATCGTTTGACTGAATTCTTGGGCAAAATATTTTCACCATCTCCCCGAATGGTGATTTCAGTATTAAAATACTCATTCACATCCCTAATTCTTATAGCTTTGTGATCACATAAATATTTTTCAATTGGCTCAGATTCTCCGTCCGTAAAATCGATCTCTGGAGTTCATCAGAGACTTTACTAGAAGGCTCAGTACCCTTTTACATAGAAAGAGTCACTTCTCCTGCTAAGTATGAATGCCTGGCATATTTTAAAGGATTATTTGGGTTCCTTACTGAGTCATTTGAGGTCCATTCTCCTTTCGTCAGCTCTTCGCCCAGGAAAGCTCAGATTGAGATCCTACATTAATGAAATGGTGATATGATTGCTTGGCCATCATCGCGGACAGGATGTACTCTCTTCTCGTCTCTCCATGCTTAAAAAAGCCAAAAACAATGATGTCATGCATGTGTCTCCACTCCTCTTTGTAGCCACCTCATTTGGGGGCAAACATTACATAAACCTGGTGTGCGTTGCCTTTGCTCTCTGGAGTGGATTGAGGTTTTAGTGCTAGGTGAACAATATCAAGTATTTGCTTGTCTTGCCGTAATCTCAAACGCGCCGGGATTAAAACACAGTGGACGGGCCGCCGAAAACAACAGGAAGGGTTTTTTTTTTTTGTTGACAAGCTCCAGCGGAATCGCACTGCTCTGTTCATACTCAAATTATATCAGTGCACCAAGGAGATTATCAGATATTCAGGATTACAAAATCTGCCCACATCACAGCCCCATCTCTCCCTAATAATGCCTGCTTTACTGTGTTTATGCTTATTTATACTTATTCTAATGGTATGTGCTGGTTTTTTGTGGCAGGAACACACTTACTGGTGCGATAATTGTTTGTAAACAGTTTGTTTATGTGCTGAAGACTCTTCCACAGTAGTGTACATTGAGCCCGAGTTATGGCATTTATGCTCATTATAACATTGGCTAGTCATGAATTGTAAATATAACTTGTAAACTTTGAAGTATCATGAATAGTTTTTAGCCCTCCAGTTTCGTACCATATTCGTACTCATGCTGATGTCTGGTTTCACCTGTCAGTATTGTGTTCCACACATGTAAAGAACCTTTTTTTTTTCAATTTTCTCCCCAATTTAGTCGTATCCAATTCCACCCACTAGTTAGGACTCCCCCAGTCACACAATACTATCAATGCTAGCAGGGCAAAGGCAAACCCAGGCTTTCTCTGAGACTTCGAACTGCAGCTAACGCAACGTCATTGGACAGCTGAACACACTCGGAGGAGACCACTAACCACCAGATCTATTACGTCAGCTAACAGACGCCTGCGCTGAGTGATGGTGGGAGACGGGGGGGCCATCCTACCCACCCAGAGAGAGCGAGGACTACTGTGCTTTTTTGGACTCCCAGCCACAGATGGCTGTAGCATCACCAGGGATCGAACTCGCGATCTCCTGGCGACAGGGCCAACGCTTAGACGGTTGCGCCACTTTTAAATATCTGCACTAATACACAATTCGGTTGATTTGGAGGCTCAGAAGTCTGTCTATCAAGTATTTTACAGCTGCTTTGAGGATAGCTTAGCCAATCAGATTTCAGAAACAGAAATTTATGCGGGTCACATGCTGAATTTACGCTTGCTGATTAAAGATTAATCAGCAACTAATGACATTCGGTTACTGGTCAAAAGAATTTGACAAAACTTTGTGTCCTTCATCATTCCTACATAGAACACAGTGAATTAAACCTTAACTCAAGAAGTTTCTACTAGAAATGAACAATTTTTACATTTCCTGCCGAGCATAATATATGTATAATGTATACATGTATAATATGCTGTATTGATGTTGTTGTTGTTGTTGTTGTTGAGCACTGACAGTGATCTAATTGGTATATTGGAATGCTTGCGCTCTTTATATTGATACATTGGCTTATATATTTGAATGTAATGTGATGTTTTCCCTCACCCACACTGACAGGACATCCATATATATATATATATATATATATATATATATATATATATATATATATATATATATATATATATATGTATATGTATGTGTGTGTGTGTGTGTGTGTGTGTGTGTGTGTGTGTGTGTATATATATATATATATATATATACACACACACACTTTTTTCAGTTTTTGACATGTTTTGAAAATGCCTGTCATTCTGGTACTGTTGACTTACATTAAAAGTAAAGTTTTTTCCTTCTCCTGTAAAGTTACCATTTTGGTAACTATATATTGAACTATAGATATATCGAACCATTTTGTTCAGTGGGGATGTGGTACGATGGTTTTAACTTCAGCAGTAGTACATATAAAGGTACTGTATAAAATTAAGTTGGTAGTTGAAAGTGTTGATAGTTAGCAGCTAATCTGTGGATAGTGAGTCAGTTAATGGACATCCTTAGGTCAGACAGTAACAGCAGTTTAAAAAAAGAAAACCTCCGGTCAGTATAGAAGTGAGGATTGTTTGTATTATTCGCTGGTCTCATACAAAAAGTCATCCAGCTGAAAGGGCACGTTTGGATAAGAGAGTGTGACCAGTGGTCAGTGAGATAATCCTAAATACAGAGATCAAACAGCTACAGCTATTGAACCTTTCAGGCCATATTATTATTATTATTATTACTGTCCATTACTGGAGCTTTTATACTGCAGAGAGATTTTTGTGGTCATTATTCTGTATTTGTGTTTGCAGTCTCTGTGGGATCATCCCAGCATTGAGCAGCTTTCTTTTGCCCCGAATGAATCCCTTCGTCCTGATCAACATGGCTGGGGCGTTCGCTCTTGGGATCACTTACATGCTGATTGAGATCAAGTAAGAGCATCAGTTTGTTCTGTATGTCTCTTTAAATGAAATTGTATTGGAATGATTGCACTGGTTGATGCATTAACCACCATGTCTTGCTCCACTGATTGACAAACTGTTGCACTTTTATATCGCTGTCAACTGAATAGATATGAGTAAATAAGTGGGATAATAAACAAATAAAATAATGGACATACATAATATAGACAACTGTGACTTGGTAATATCTAAAATGCAGTAGTTGAGAATTTATGCCAGACCTGAAACTTGGCATACTGGAGCATTTAAACACTCACAGCCAGTGTAACTGGTTTGACGGGAACCATCGTGGCCAGTAATTAACACAAACAAAGAGCTTGAGTGGCTAAATGTCTGTTTGACATGAGATTACAACTCGAAGAGAGTGAATTTAATGAGTTACAGTTTACTTTGGTCTGTTTGCCTAGCAAAACAAGCTGCTTTTAGATCCTGTATACAGAGCACTTACTGCTAACTACATAAATGAGTTTACATACCTGCAGCTTCCCTTCAACTTATTCACAGAAGGAAACTTTATATTCAGTGTGATTTAAAGGATGGTTATATGTACATGGCGAATTGACAGACTCACTGCTAAACTGTAGACTAGTTTATTAATATGATGTACAGTTAATCGCACTGTTTTCTGCATTTTGCAGCAACTACAATGCAGTGGACACGGCCTCCGCAGTGGCGATCGCCCTGATGACCTTTGGTACAATGTACCCCATGAGTGTGTACAGCGGAAAGGTCCTTCTACAGGTATACATCATGAAAAGTCTTGTTGTTGTTGTGCTTTCTCACTTTGCAAGGTGTCCACTTTTACACTCTTAAACTGGTTCTCGGCTTGGAGATACATTTCTAAGGGAAACTTTTGGTTGGTATAAAATCTTGATGTTATGTGGAGTTTTTTTTTTTCAAACATTAAAAAGTTTCTTCTTTTGTAAATGTGCATTTTTGCACATTTGTAAAAAATTGTTCATACATTAAAGGGTTGTTAAACTGAACCCGGCACCTAGCGGGCAAAAACATAGCTCACTTCTAGCCTTCATAACTTCAGAACGGTTTAGGCTATAGACACGATACACGTATCAGGACATTCAGCAGACTTGCCCCAAACCAGATAGCACGGCATCGAGCTGTGACGTCAGCATCAGTGAATAATTCAGCTCAAAAAATCACCCAAAATCCTGATATTATTGCTCTGGCTTTAGCCTTCATACTTCAACAAAGGGTTAAACCAGCGACACGATTGACACATCTGCTTACTTATTAGACTCACTATCCACAGTGATTTCATCCACCTGTGACCATCCATCAGCCAGAAATCCAGCTCCAAAATCACCCAAACCCACTCGCTACTATTATATCTCTGCTTTTAGCCTCTATATTATAAACCAGAACACTCAGAGAAACCTGCCATCACTAGCCAGAGTGAGAGAAACCAGCTCTAACACCCCACAACCCAGAAATACAGCACAAACACACAGCCAGATCACTGTAAAACCTGCTATTAGCTCTCTGCTTTAGCCTCCATATGGCAACAAAAGGGATAAGGAGCTGAAAGGGGCTCTTCTATGGCATAGAAACTTTTTAGCACTTTTATTTTTAAGAGCATCGGGAGAAAACAAGTTGGAGTGAAGTCAGCGAGAGAAAAGAACCGGGACTAATGCTAACTCATTTTGTGTGCCCTACAGACCACACCTTCTCATGTCATTGGTCAGCTTGACAAACTCCTCAGAGAGGTAAGTTTTACACATGTTGACAAATATTTTTGATTATTATTGATTTGACAATTTAAAGAAATGGTTTTGCAAAAAAAAAAGTTTTACACAGTTTTCAGCTTCCCCAGATGTTCACCATTAAAGAAGGTGGTTATTTAAGGGTTCCTCAGTTTGAGAATGTGCTGTAGATGGTTCTGTATAGAACCTTTTTGGAAAGGGTTCTGTATAGCACCAGAACGGTTTCTTTTATTGTCATGATGTCAAGCTTACAATAGAAGCAGGCTTTTTGGTGCTGTATAGAAACCTTTCCAATAATCAAACCAAATCACGTTTATTGTCCCGTCACATTTACACAGGGTCAAGGTGATTGATCTTAGGTGCGTAACCCCCTTATAGAATTTAAATACAAAAAATATATATATAAGAAAAAAGAAATATATATATATATATATATATATATATGTATGTATATATATATATATATATATATGTATATATATATACACCGACTCTAAATATATTCACATACACAATATACACTAGTATTGCACTTTTCCAATGTACAGTTGTACAGTAATAAGTTATGAAATGAAGCTATGATTATATACTGTTGTACATGTGCAGTTAGTGAGTCTAAGGTAGATAAATAAATGAGATGCAGGTACACAGGGGATAAAATATTGATGGAGAAATCTTCCAGATTATACAAGATATGGATAGAAGATGTACAACATGTCAGTCTATATGTGTAAGTATAGATTTGCCAGATTGAGGGTGCAGTAAGATCAGAGTAAAAGGCTAATATACAGCACATTCTCCATTAGTCTGAAGAACGCTTTCACATTGCAAGTGACCTTTTAATCATGCACTGTTTTTGTTCATAGTTGTATATAGAACCACTTTTTTTAGTGAAGAACCCCTAAAGAACCATGCTTTTTCAAGAGTGTAGGTGATCAACCAAGACTTATTTGGTGCTGAATTCTGACTCCCCCCCACAGAATATGACTCCCTTTCACGTTCATGCACATCATGTACATGGATGCTGGATTACATTCGCAACTTCCATAGTTTTTATTTATAAACATATATCTTCAGTTCGAACACTCAAGATTAACAGTTGCTTAGAAAGAAACAACAGAAATCACAAACATAATCTGTAGTGCTCATATACCTACATGACGTCCATGTTGGACGGATTTGGACACAGCTGCAGTGGTCTAGATTGGCTGCCCGCTGCATCCGACTACAAGGTGAAGTTTAGTTCATTTTTATAGCTCATGTAAGTTATATTGTGTCCCAAACCACGTCAACAAGCCCGTGTGACCTTAATGACTGAGACTGAGAGACATTTTTGGGGCTGTATTTGCAGAAAGCTAATTTGGACACCATACATGTCTTGGCTGATAAGCTACGCCTGTGATAAGTGGTTGATTTCTAATTTGATTTTTCACCAAACCATTCCATTAACAGCGGTTGGTATAGCGTGGTGCAATGGCTTTCACCTCCAGTCTTGAGGACCCTCTACTGGTTCAGCTATTGTCTTTCCCAGCATACCTCATTCAGCTCATCAGATAGTTTTCAAGCACATCCTGAGCTGGATCAGGTGTGTTGAGGGCCTGAAACCATGCAGGGTTCCTGGGAAAGGAGTTGAAATACCATTGACCTTCTCAAAGCAGACTGGGGTTCAATTCACCACTCAAACAAGCTTAGTAGAAGTCCTTGGGCAAGACTCTTAACACCTGCCCTTATAACATGATTAAATTGTAAGTGGCTCTGGATGTGAGTGTCCCTCAAATGCCGTAAATGAAATGTGTTCTTGTTCCAGGTCTCTACGCTGGATGGAGTTTTAGAAGTGCGGAATGAACACTTCTGGACTGTAGGCTTTGGCTCTTTGGTAACCCATTCATTTATCCCTTTTAACATCCACTACGTTTATTTATCCAGCAGATTTATTATAAAGTCTACTCTTGATTTCCTTCAGATATTCTGATGCTTCACGATTCACCTAAAGTTGGGCGTACACTACACGGCTTAGTGTTAGTTTGTCACAGAATTCCTTGTCTTTTTTCTCGTGCGGGCACTCAAACTAGACGACAGGTCATAGAGGGAGTATAATAAACAGTATAACAAGTTTGGGCTACGAAAAAGAACTCAAACTCCCAGATCTCCTCAGATCACATGACATAAACAAAGCTGAATGTACTGGACCTGTTTGTGCTTTTATGAGAGCTGGAGAAATATTGCACTACAAACTGGCAGCTGAGCTGAAACTTTTTCTCCGCTCTTCTAGCTCTCTGATTGGCTGTTGTTTGAATCACTTGTTGAGTTCATCTCTGACCTTGTCACTCTGCAGGACTCGTGAACGTTTAGAGTCATAAATATCAAACGTTCGACAATATCGGAGAGTCTCTGATCACTTCAGAGCTCGATCGGAGGGCTAAAGATGCACTCATTTCTCCTCACACACCTGCAACATCGCTTCAGATTGTTAATATCTGTCGCAAGGGGCAAATCAGGGTTAAAATCGGGTAAAACACTGTGTAATGTGGGCCCAGCCTAGGAGAGAGTCTTGAGAGAAATAAGGCTAGTACTGTGGCCTTGGTGGGCCTCCAAATGTTCCTGTTTTGTGGGGTTAAAGGCTCTTTCCACCACAGCACTTTAGGCTTTGTTTTGCTGAATTAATCAAACTGAAACTATTTAGCAGTCATTGAGTTTGCCCTAGTTTTCACCCCAGAAGTGGGGTTTGTCCTGGAATGCTCTGGACGTAATCCATTGTTTGCTGGTCTCAGGCTTCAAAGGTGGGAGTTTAAGCTGCCCTGCATGCTCAACAACCAAGCAGCATATAATGGAAAGTAAACACGATAGAGACCCACTATTAGAAACGAACTTTTCAATAAAAAAGTGGAAACAATAACAGAAAAATCTGCCACTCAGCTCTTTCAGATAGTTGGCATATTTGGCACAGTAGTGCAGAGTTTGGTGACCTGAGAAAACAGAGGGAGGCAGACGCTCCCTAACAGAACTCATTAACCCCGTCTCGTAAACGCTTTTTTTTTGTTGTTGTTTTGGCGCGCAGGCTGGCTCCATCCATGTCCGCATTCGCCGGGACGCCAACGAGCAGATGGTCTTGGCCCACGTGACCAACCGCCTCCACACACTGGTCTCTACGCTGACCATTCAGATCTTCAAAGACGACTGGACCCGCCCATCCCTGGCGACTGGCGTTTTGCCAGCCGGCACACTTAGCGGGTCGGATTACGGTGCCGCGTCTGGGTTCCTCCCCCCGGCCTTGTCCAAACAGGCCGAGGAGCTGGACCCCCTCACCTCCACCCCGACCAAGCCGAGCAGCCCGCCGCCCGAGTTCTCCTTCAACACCCCTGGAAAGAACGTCCAGCCTATGGTGTTACCAAGCACCCATCAGCACAGGCCCTACAACCTGGGCCTCGCTTACGGGGCCGCACCCTACACCAGCATGCTCAACCAAGGCTTCGCACAGCCAGGCAGCGGCCTGGGGGTTGGAGCTGGCTTAGGAATGGGAGCACGACTTCCCTCAGTCCAGGGCTACAGAACTTCGTTCAGTGCAGCTCCGCATAGATACGGAAGCAACCTGCTGCCTTCACAGACGAGCCAGTACAGACCCTGATTTGAGCACCAGAGCCATTGCCCTATAACGCTGGGCTAGAAACAAGCTGACCTACAGAGGATGCTGACTGTAACTGAAATCTATATTTATTTAATAGGACCAAGGCTTACACGTCTTATCCTTAATGGATTTTCTAATTGTATTCTCCTTTTTTGTACTATTAAACCGACCACAGGCATAATGGGACTGTACGACTGTGCTGTTTTCCACTGTCTTTGCTATAAGAGGATTGCTAAGAGGCCCGTGGTCTTAGTATTGTAACTTTTGGATTCTTTCAGAAAGTTAATCTACTTTTATGCCGGATGTTGTGCAGTTTAAACAGGGGTCGATTGTTTGAACAGGGTCCAACTCATTGTCTGACCTCGGTGCTCGGTTAAGGGGGTTTGATCCCATGTCAAAAAAAACTTTTATTTGGGAACCTAGTAATTCCATACTTGACTAATAAGTGGTGAACTGAATGCATTTAAATGACACTCGAATTCTCATGCATTAAAATAATGGTGGCTAACCAAACTGCAGCCTGGCGTAAGAGGATTACTTTATTACCAGCATCCACAGAAATCAGATAGTCGTGTCAAGTGATGATGCATTGGGTTTTGATGGAAAACATGACCTCAGCTGAGACCCACCTGCAACCATGATGTGATATTTGCATTTATTAAGCAAATGTTTCAAACCAAAAAGGTGGACATTTGGGTATTACTGCTATTATTTTATATGTGTAGCAGTAATAGCAACCAATATAGAGCTTTCAAAACAGTACGGCCAACTTTGGAACCAATATTTTAAGCTGTTTGTCCCATTGATTTCAGGGCACAGGGATTCTGATGTTACGTTGACTTGTAAATTACTTTTTCCCTTTCAACAAGTGTATGAACTGAAGCAAATGTCCATATAGTGCAAATATGTGTGGTTACACTTTAAACCGGGTCTATTCTGTACATGAAAGCTCAGTTATTCCAGAGAAACCCACAAGTCCAAATTGTTCACTGTGGTTTTGATAGGAACCGGACGTCCCAAGTCTTTAATGCCTCTCCAAGCTCCTTCACATGAAGCTTTTCATTAAACGGTTATGGATATATGCTGTCTGATGCTTGTAATATTGTTCAAAAAGAAGGTTTTGGCCTAAAATATAAATATATATATATATTTTAAACATTAATGGTAAAGAGGTACTCGCAGGGCGCTGTAAGGCGAAGTTAGTATCCAAATAAAACGTATCTTTTTAGATTTATGTCCATTTTACTGTCGACATTACACATAAAAACTTGTAGGTTCACTGGAGGTTTTGGTCTGTATTCTGAACTACAGTCTGGCCTCACGGAGAGCAGGCTGACCAGGTCAGCAGAAAGCTAACAGGCCAATAACATTCAGGCAGGATGTAAAACTTCAGATGTCTACTTAAGTTTCAGAGCTTAAATGCTGTGTTGACTGTCGATGTAAATAAAGTATTTTATTTAATGTCTGTTTTTATCATTCATAAGGTCTTTGTACTCTGTAATCGGTTCTTTTGAGTTTTCAGCCGAAATATTGCAGAAACCGTCTCATCCAACACTTCGACTGCGTAAGTGAGTCAAGCATGTTGGCGAGGTGATGAGATTCAGTTCAGGCATGAACCTTTACAGTGACTTTTAGTACGACTCATGAACTGGTTTTCGGTTCTTGCGGCTCAGTGAGTCTGACTCGGCTCAGAGCGCTCGGTCACTCTAGCAGGGAGCCACTAGCGGTGCCATAAAGGCTGTTCGATTCCAGAAATTTTGGAGTCGACTCTGATTCGAAGTGATGGGAATCGGTTGAATCCAAGAGTCGATTGCACACATTATCAACTCCAAAAAAACAAAACGGAGAGAAAGCTGTCCAGCAAAATAAAGAGTTCAACACTATTTATCTCTGACCTTGGCAAGGAGATTTGGAGAGAGAACCGAATTTACACACTGCATTAATACGGAAGGCTAAGTTGTACCTGATTCTCCAGTCGTCTTCTTCGGGTGGGTAGATGTTTTAGCACTACAGTGTTGTTTGTATGTTATAAATATTGCATTTTATTTTCTTTTCCACTTGATTTAAAGTAAAACATGATTATGAAAGGATGTGTTTTCAGACTGGCTGTCGAAACAGATTACATCGCATTAGCGATGGGGAATCGATTCCGAAAGAATCGATTCGTCGACTCCAACACGTCTGGGAGTTGGTGTCGGCCCTTGGCCAGTGACTCTGGGAGCCGACACCTTGATTCAGTCAACTCCGTATTTTTTCACTGTGATTAGAAACAGTAAAAGGAACAAAAAAGAGTTTTTCAGTGTTGTGAAAAAGAAATTGAGTTTTTTTTTTCACTTGTTTGCCAACTTCTTATTCAAATTTCTGTTCCACCTTAAATGGTGCTGTGTTTGCATTCATTAAGGTGACTGCTGAATCACTTAAGGTGGAACGGAAAAGGTGAATAAAAAGCCAACTTCAGCCTCTAAGAAGAAAGAGGAACAAGAAAACATCCAACTGATTCCTTTTCAAAGAATTTAAAAGGAGTTTGGTCAGTTTTCAAAGAACGCTGACTGGCGACAGTAATGATTTCCTCTCCCTGAGTTTCGTTATGTGAAACAGGCTGGTGGTGAGCTGTGTTGAAACATTATTCAGCTGTAATCAGATGTAAAGCAGTTGATATTAGTTGGTATAATCTGTGAATTTTAATCACTGGTATCCACAACTACTATAAAAACTGGGTAAACTATGTTTAGGATGGTTTAATCTTGGCTGAGTCCAGAGAGGCCATGAGGTAGTTATAACTTTCTGAACTTTTATCTTGAGATCACAAAAGTTGTTTTCTCAAGATATCAAAATAAAAGTTGTTTTCTCTATATCACTACTTATTTATCTCAAGTTATTTTGAGATCACAAGATAACAACTTGTATTCTCGAGATCATAACTTATTTTTGTGATCTCAACAAACGTTTTCTCTTTGCCACAGCTTTTATCTTGATCATCAAAGTATCTCAAGAAAACAACATTAATCTTGAGATCACAAGATAAGTTGTTTTGTTGAGGTCATAACTTATTTTTCTCATGATATCAAGATAAAAGTTGTATTCTCGATATAGCAACATATTTATTTTGCTTATCAAGTTATCTTGAGAAAAGAACTTTTATCTTGATATCACAAGATAAAAGTTTTCTTGAGGTCATAACTTATTTTTCTTATGATCTCAAGATAGAAGTTGTTTTCTCGATATCACAGCTTATTTATCTTTATTATCAAGTTATCTTGAGAAAACAACTTCTGTTATCTTGAGAACACAAGACAGATTGGTCAAGATTTTAAGAATAACAATTAAGAAAATTGTAGCTACCCCAGGCCTCTCTGGTCTACCTCATCACCAGCTCTGGAGCTGCACTGCTTTTAACTTAAGTGAAGTTGAAGAGTCGACTCCCTCGATTCCAACAGGAGGAGTCGAGAGTCGGAGTCGTGCGAGTGCGGGCCAAACGTGATCGTTACTAGAACCGAGTCTAAAGCTTTTGAGTCGACTCTTGGTTCCCGAATGCCTGGAATCGAGGAGTCGATTCTTTTTGGGTCGACTCCCAGCCCTGGGCGCCATCCGCACAGCAGGACGCTGCGGACCACAGAGAGAAAACACGCGAGTTCAAAGAGGTAAAGGCTAATACGGGGCGAGTCGGTTCACGATTTTATGAGGTAAAGTTGTGAAAGATCGTGTTTATTTCATCAGAATTATTCAGCCAATAACAGGGACGAAAACGTTGCAAAGATGCTACAGAAAAGTTTGATTCAGCTGGATTTTTCATTGGTTCGATCTGTTCATTAAAATGAACCGGTTCAAAAGAATGACTCGTTAATGAATCGGATATTCAAATCAGCAAACGAAGAGAAGTCGAGGTCCTCCAGTGTACGGCTAAAATAACAAGAAAGAAAGGACAAAAGCACATTAATTGAAAAGTGTTGGCCTAAGAAAAACGATAAAAGCTCTTCCTAGTAATAACAGCACAGTGATGCCCGACTCAGACTCTAGAATCGAGGGAGTCGATTCCTTAACTCCACTTCATGTTAAACGAGTACATGTCAGTGATGGGAGGAAAATTCAGCTTAACGTTATTCCACACAGTGGGGTGGAACTGGGAGTGATGAAAACCATTACTGTAGTCAAAATTTATCAGAAAAGAAACCAGTTGGATGTTATCTTGTGCCTATTTTAAGGGCCTGAAGTTGGCTTCGTGTTCGCCTTTTCCGGTCCACCTTAAATGATTCAGCGTTTATCCTAACGGTGCACCGGCCATTTAAGGTGGAACGGAAATTTTAATAAGAAGCTAGCAGGTAAGTAAGAAATCTTGGCCTAGTCCTCTTTTACTCAATGCTCTGTGGAAAAAACGTTGTTTGTTTTCGGTTTTAATTTCTAATAAGTGTTTATTGCGACCCAAATTCTTAAGAAACGGATCTAAACCGTTTCTCTTTACAGTAATGGTGAGCAGCGTTAGCATAAAGCTGCTAATCAAACAAACTCACACTACTTAAACTCAAACTGCTGCTTATGAAGGAAAAACGGTCAGTCGAAGAGTCGAGTCTTAGCATTTCGACTCTTCGAGTCATAGGCCAAGAGTCGAGTTCTCAGACCTGCTGGAGTCGGAAGAATCCATTGGATTACCCACTGGGTTACTTGTCTATCATGAATGATATCCAATTACATGGCCCTGTCACCCAGGCCTACACAGGATGTCAGTATTTAAACAGGAACGGCACTGCTATCACTGTCTTCAAAGGGGAATTCCACCAAAATTATGCATATCTAAATTGTTCAGATGTAAACAGAGTCGTTCAGAGTGGTTTGGTGTGAAATGCTGCGTTCCAGAGAAACTTGCCGAGTCAGAATTGCACACAGCCAGGCATCGGAAGCATTTATTGCCCCGAGAAGCTACTTCTTAAATAAGCTATTTTAAGTCCCTTATTGAAGGGAGGCAAAATAGTCTCCAAAGACAATCACTATTTAACCACTACCCCTCGTTCCTGCCACCATCACCGTAAAGTGGTCTAGGTCAGTAGGTCAGGAAGTTTCTCCACAATGCACCATTTCACAGCAAACCACTCTAAATAACTGTTTACATCTCATGATTAATGCAGAAATTCAATCAGTGGAACATATATATGTGTGTGTGTGCTCAATCCTGGTCCTGGAGATCTACCACCCTGGAGAATTCAGATCCAGCACACCTGATTCATTGAGTTAGATGCCCTTGAAGGCCTTGATTACCTGGGTCAGGTCAGATTAGGGTTGGAGTTAAACTCTGCAGGGTGGTAGATGTCAGGGCACCCCTGTCTTAGAGGGAATGGTCAATTCAAAATTATTCTGACTGATCACTTTTTATGATGGTCAGTGTTTATCTGTGTGAACTGTTCATGTCTTTTTTCTGTCTTCCAGCATGAACTTGTACAGAAATGAGGAACCATCTCATTCAGAGAAGAGCAATTAATGGTAAGTTGTCTAAAGGAGACCTGAAGAAGGCAGTGTTGCCCAGAAGTGTTCTGTGGATGATGCTTACAGAGTTTGGCTGTAGGTCAGCTAAATGTAATATAAAACTGTGTTCAGTGAGTCACGCTTTCCCTTTATTCCAGCTTCCGTTCTTTTCAGGAGACTCACTTTCAGTTCCTCAAAGAATCTGCAGACACACCTCCAAAGTTCAGTCTTAGAAGCTGGTTATATTTTGTGCTTTTCACGGTTTAAATAATCCCAATTACAGATCTATCAATCTATAAAACAGTCCTTCTTGGCCGCTAGAGGAGAGCGGGACTTTTTTGCTAAGTAATTTTAACAGCGATTTATCAAGATTTTTATTTTTTATACAAGCAGTCTATGCCTTTTTGTAACACTGAGTGCGTATACATGCACTCAATAATCCGATCATAATCAGATTTCTGCAGTTATCTGATTATTCAAATGGTCATGTAAACGCCACACTCCGTTCCAGAAATCCGATGAAGAAATCTGATAAAGAGAGCTGGATTTTAGCTCAGTAATCAGATTTCTCAGTGCATGTGAACTCTTACTCTGATTTCTTTCAGATTTCTCAGTCTGCACATGCGAGAGATCAGACGGTGGATGTCGTGAGATGAAGCAAAACACTTTTAGAGCGACGCTGAAACCAAACACGAAGTGAAGGATTTAAATATTTTTCATCTTCTAGATGATGTGTGTTTCAGGTAAAGTGATTCATCACATCACGTCGTCTTCTGTGAGTTTATTGGCTGGTTGCAGAGCAGAAATCTGATTACTGTCTGACTCATGTAGACCTGGAGTTTCCTCCATTATCTGATTACTCAGATCTATATAAACGTGTTGATCGGATCACTAACAAAATCTGATTTTCTGCAGTTATCAGATTATTAAGTGCATGTAAACGCACTCACTGAAAAATGAATAACTGGTAATTAATGGATGCTTTGACTGGAAATGAAATACATGGA